GAATATAAGCTGATCTTTGACAAAAGAACTTCTTGTAGATTTCCTAAAATAAATCAGTTTTAGATCAGCAATAAAAGATTTTTATCCATTTGAAAATTATATGCTATTACTGTTTTCTAGTTATTTGTACTCATAAATTCAAATTTTAAATCTTAATTAAAAAATGTTTGGTTAATTTAAAAGTATAGAAGTCAGATTCAGGCCAGTGGGTGGCATGGTGGTTAAGGGCACTGGACTCTCACATGGCTAAACCACGATTCAAGTTCTGGACCTGGCAGCTTACGTTCTCACTTTCCCTCTCTCGCTGTCTCCTCTCTGGTCAAATTAAAATATATAACATAAATAAATAAAGTTAAATTAAGTAATTCTTTAAAAAAGAAAAAAAAAAAAGGAAGTCAGGGGACCAGCAGCTGGCTGGACTCCCATGTAGTCGACCGCAGTTCTAGTCTTGGACCCGGTGGCTTAAACTCATGCTGAGTGCATGTGCGTGCGTGCCCGAGATCCCAAGAGGAGAATGGGGGAGAAAGGATTGTGGCGTGGCCATCCCCCCTGTGGGGTGGGATGATGTCTCGCTTTCTGTCTCTGTGTTTCTGGCGAGCACACGCACCCTATAGCAAAAACTTCTCCCAAAAAAATAAAGAAGTCAGGTTCTTTTTGTGCTTTTTATGTCTTGCATATTATCTTAACTGTTTATTTCAACATACATATTAAAACATTTCTATAAATTCTGAAAAAAATCCACTTGAGAAAAGGCATAGTAGTGGGAAAAGATTTTTGAATTATTGGAAACCTCAAGTAAAAATAGAAAATATAAAATTGATATTTTCTAGAATTCTAGAATCCTCTAGAATTTTGACTCTTAATTTTTTGTTTCTTTTGTTTTAAATAGATAAGACAAAACCCATGACTTCTGTAACTAATGCCAACACTTCTAGTACACAAGCAGCTCCTATAGCTGTTACAGCACCTACTGTTTCATCGGGTCAGACAACACCTACATCACCTATTAAAAAGGTAAGCCAAATTATGTTTCTTACAAATACATATTCTATTTAAGTACCATTTGGACTAACTCATTAAAACAGTTCTCAAGTTTTATAGCTTGCACCAAAAATATGTAAAGTTTTAAAGTAAAAATGTATTTTTCCGTTTTTAGTTTGCCTAGGATTTCCTTTCAACCAACCATGTAATAGTCATTTATTTTTTCCAGATCCTTTCTGTGATATTATGGTTGATAGTTAACAAATGTAAACATTGGTGTTTAAAAATAAATGGCAAAAAGATAATTTCCATGATACTGATACCAGGAATTATTGTCATTTTCTCATCTATTGAATTTTTATTTTGAGAAACAAGTTCTATACCTTCTGTCTCTGTTAAGTGTAGGTAAATGATAATTTCACGCAAAGGTGAATAAGGCACCAAAAAACTACCGTGAGTCAGCGAGGTAACTAGCATCTAGTGTACTTTTGTTGTTCTTTTTCTCGCCCACTAGGTATGTCAGTAAGAACATGATTTTTGAGATCAAACCAGAGCGCACTCCTGACCTCAATTCTTACTAGTTATGATGAACTTGAAGTTACTGTTACTTACTTCCTGCCTTATCTGTCACAGAACAGAACAGTGAAAAATAATATTATAAGGGTTAACAGGGACAGAGACCCTAGCTAGTGACTTAGTGTGTTTCAAAAATGATGGTTTCATTTTTTTCTCTTCTACCATTTTCTGTTTTCTATTTCTCTTGTCTCTTTTCTCCACCAAAGCAGTGTTTTCCAAATAGCATGTTCATCTTGTGGACTTCCCTTTTTCCTTCTACTCTGGAACCTAGCTTCCTTTTAGCTCCAATTAAGGATTAAGGGCCATTTTTTGGTCCCTACCGTTCTCATCTTAAAGGTTTCTCCTCGCTAGCCCTTTTCTTTTATAAGTATCCTCATTTTCTCCTTCGTGTGTGTGCACGCACACACACTGTTTTAGCCAACTCATTTAAGAATTTATGGTAGTCATCATACACTCTATCCCTAAATATGTTAGTGTGTGTCTCCAAAGTACAAATCATTATCCTTCATTTCTGCAATAAAACAATCATACTTAGTGAATTTAACTTTGATACAATGCTATAATACTACTTATTTATATTAAGTAATGTACATACTTGGAAATTTCTAATTTCCTTTTCAATAGTCTTTTCCAGCTGTTTGATTTTTCAAATCAAAAGATCCACCCAAGGATTGCATACTTTGTTTAACTGTCATGTCTCTCTGCCTTTGACTTCTTTTATTATTGCCTGTCTGACATTACTTGGTTTGCATGGGTTTGGAGATTGATTTTAAATCCCTACAGCGTTTCTATTATATTGTCAGTCTTGCTAATCTTTGGATTTTGCTCAAAGTGGTCAAAATATAGATCTTTTTTAAGTCATAAACTAGATAGAAAATGTTTTTAAAAGTCGAAACTGTTAGTAATTATCTCCCTTTAAAACTCTTCCCAGGGAACCAGCAGTTAGCGTAATGGCTATGTCACTGGACTCCCGGTTCGCATCCCTGACCTGGTGGCTTAAAACTCAACACCAGGCGCGTGTGCATGCGTGCCCAAGATCCCGAGAGGAGAAAGGATTGCGGCATGACCATCCCCCCTGGGGGTTGATTTCTCGCTTTCTGTCTCTCTGTCTCTCTCTGTCTGTCTGGCGAGCGCACGCGCCCTATAGCAAAAACCTCTCAAAAAAAAAAAAAAAAAAAAAATCTTCCCAAAAAAAAAACAAATGAAAATTTTTT